TTAACAAGAATTCATTGCAGGCCGATGCAATAAGTTTAATTTAAAGTTTGTGAAAGTAAATCAGTGTTTTCAGCAAAGGGTGCTCCAAAATTTCCGCTTGGCTTGTGTATGTAAGTGCCAAGCGGAAATTTTGGAGCACCCTTTGCTGCAAACATACATACATAACTGAGTGACAGTGTTTGTGAAATATGAATTACATACATATGTACCTACGTTTGTAACACGGGCGATTACAAATTGATTTGTTTTGGTCCCAAATAAACGAAACAGAAGGTAAATGCAATTCAAAAATTTGTACTATCGAATTTATTAAAAAAAAACAAATACATACATATAATATAAGTGATGAGATTTTTAAAGTATTTTAAAAAGAAGATACAGTAAGAAAATATTTGATTCAGCTGATACAGTATTTAACTCTGTTTTGATAATCTCCAGGATGCATATTATAATTTATCATTTTATTAATTTTTTAAGTTATACTTATCCGCTTATACTGCGCAATAAAATAACCCGTAAAAGAAAAAGAAAAAGTACAGTAGGAATAGGGCTTTGTAAAGGAAGAGAATCATAAAGAGAATCGCGCCCAGAAGTGTGCTCACTTCACCGCTCTCTTTTGTTTTCGTTTTCTTGTGTTGCGTGGATTTGTCGATGCGCAAAAAATTAGTGCTTGGCTTCTTAAATGTTTTTAAACTAATTTAAAATGTTACCAAAAAGTGATGCAAGAAGTCACTCTCAAATATAGAGATAAAATGGTTTTAAAATAATACATATATTTTTACTCTGTTATTCGGTTCCCAAATACTTCCTCCCCAAGTATAACCCTCTAGCACTCACGCTTTCACCCCACCGAAAAGTCGTCTAAACTTTCTTCTACTCTTTCCGATCTTCAAAGAAAGTCCCCAGGCCCACCCTGAATAATGTTTCCCACGTGGGGATCTCAAAATCAGATTGTCAACATGGCCTCGCACGTGATATCAATGCATTAACGGAAGTGTTTCAATTGTGTATTCCCGGGGGCCCAAAATAGCCACGGAAATGTAACAAACTTCTGGCTAAAGATCAATAATCGTCGCGCCCGCTCTGTAAAGGTAATTCCCTCTTCCAAAAACGGGGAGCGTTGAAAAATTGTATCCCGTGTTGGTCGTAAAAAAAGTGTCCAACTTCCCCATTTCTCCTTCCCTCCCCTCGAAAGCCGAATTCCGAAAATGACAAACAGACGCAGCAAATAAATAACGAAAACTGTGTAGGGGGTGTAACGCGAAGCCCGGGGTATTACGGATCCCGGGCTCCGTTCCTACTCAAATAAACCCCTGGCCGTGCGACAAATTAACACGCTAGACGAAAGTCCGGGAAATACAGAAGCTTCGGGGGATCTATTTTAAGACCCAGGGCAGACAACTCGGTCGCCTGATCCAGTCATTCCACCCCAGTCGCGCATCCATGTAGCACCTTTATTAATTGCAGACGACGAGACGAGCGTTTGACATGTTTAATGCGAAAATCTTTAGAGCAGCAGAGTGCACTGCGATTGATTGCCGGTACAATACTTTAAACAGTAGTTTTAAACAAATGTGAGTTACAATTTACATGTACAATTTTTTTTGTTCATTATTATTATTATTTAATAATATATTATATTCAACTAGACAATGTTAATTTTGGGTAAAATCAAATAACAGGCTTTATTTAGGCGACTTATTACTGCGAACTTAAATTTCAAATAACTACAAAATTATGAATACTTAATTATATTAAGTAGCCGTAATATTTTTAACTGTACATAGCATCAAAGTCTCGTTTCCAGATTAGGGTACATGCGTTAGTCTATTTTCGTAAACAGAATGCCAAAACGTCTCTCCCCATCGCAGGCGACGTTGACAGAGGCTGGAAATTCTTTTGACTGGTCTATTTCGGTTGCCGGCCAGACAACACAGCATTATACATATAGCATATACGGCGTAAAGAACATCGCAATGTGCAGACAGCGGATTGCAGACTAGAGATCGGAGAAAAGACAGCTGACGCCAGGCCTGAGGGCAAAGTCGAACATGTGGGGCTCCGGATCTCTTCCCTTCTCAATCGAAGGGACTTAGTTCGCACGTCTGCCTCGATCTCCCTTCCTTTTTTTTTCCTTTGCCTGCGGTTTTTTTTTTGTAAAGGGTGAAGAAATGAGGGCATCTGTGAAAGAATTCATTCTTGATTTACAAAAGGGCTTTTATACCCTTGCAGAGGTTGTGTAGGTATAGTACGCCGTACATGTGTATAAGTCGGAACAAAGGGGGACCGACCAAAAAAATTTGTTAATTTTATTCTCTTTCCAAAGTGGAAATCTAATCGCGTCCTTGATACAACCCTATTCAAAATTTTCCATTTTTCTATGGTCGAAATTTTGACCCCTGTTCATGTCAGATTTCTTCTTATTGGATAAAAATTGGTAATGTTCCGGACTCTAGTAGGTTTATAGTGGTTTTGGTTTTAAAGTGCTTTTCTTAAGTGTAGCATACTAAGATATAAGGTTTGCATTAATTATGCAACTTTGTTATCCCCTCTTCTTGTGCAGTTTTCCAAGTCACTAGGTACTCCTTCTTCCCGTGATCCACTTCATCATTTATTTGCAATTTCCATTAAAATGTCATTGAAATTTCACTTACAAAAATTTTCCTTCAAAAACCAAACCGAACTGGAGCAAATAATAATTGAGTAGATGAAAAAACGGAACTGAGTTTTGTATTGTGGTGGAAAAGTCGGTGAAAAAGTGGGTTCTGTGGGTGTTTGGGAAAACTTTAGCTGGCATTTCTATTGCCGAACGCATTTTGCACTTCAATTGCACGTGAAAATGAAAATGGAAGAGGTGGTGTCGGAAAAGTCTGTGAAAAACTGAAAAATTCAAGCCTGTTAATATGCGTAAGTGTGTTGGGCAGGTGGGTGGTTGAATGGGTGGCAACTCCTGCGAAGAATCCTAGCGTGAAGTTGTCTCTTTATTTTTCTTTTCAGGCTTCTGCTGCTGTCATTGATATGGCATACTGCAGCCCCGCAGACCGCCTGAGTTTTCCCAACGAAAGCCCCTCTTGAGTTTTTCGCAACCCCCGGCTCTTTTGCCTCACCTTCTCTCGTAGTCGTTTTGTCGTCTGTTGTTAATTGTCATTGCGTCGCTTTAAGCCGCTCAGTGGCAGGAAAATGGGAAATGGAAGGTGAGATTATGGCTGAGTTTGGAAAATCAGGGAGTGGTGGCGGATAAAGTGAATCAAGAGGAAGACCAAGAGGCAGGCGCAGGCAGAGTGTATGGGACATACTCTTGCTTACTGTCATCTAATGTCTCTGAAGAACTATTGATAACTTTGAGTAAAAATTGTTCAACGATAATGAAAACGTTTATATTTATTTTTACTTGGTAAAAATCGCTATTAATTATTATTATGAGTAAATCAGTAAAAAGATGTATATATTTTTTTATTTATTCAAATTTAAATTTATATAATTAAATTTTAATTTATTTCTAAATTTGTTTTTATAAGTTCGTAACAACATTTTAAGATAGATATTTTTAAGGGGATTTTTAGAGAATACATTTAGTTCGGCGTGAATAGTTTCTCTCTTAGCCGTTGTTGGTTTTGCAGCTGTTGCTGTTTTCACGCGCGGTAAGCGCCTGTAATTGCATTGCCAAGTAAACGACGAACCGCGAACAGTGAGCGACATTCGTATGTCACTCTCCATGTGTCGGCTACACAGAAAAATATTTACCAAATATATTATTATTGAAGTCTCTTTTTGGTTGTGGTGTTAAGATTGAGATTTGACCTTTTGAGCACTATAGAGCTGTTGATACCTTGCACGTTTGGCAGTTTTTAAATTTTATTTAAAAAAAACGTCTAAACGTTGTGTCAGTGTATATTTTATGCGTATGTGTGAGCGTTGGCGTAAGTGAAATTTATTTCAACAGCCCCCGCCAGGCATTCAGCCCCAAAACTGTCGGTTGGCCAACTTAGGCGAAAAATTGAGAAGCAAGGCAACAGCGCAGCATCAACAGCAATAGAATGAAATGGGGCAGGCGAAGGGGTTCCGCACGGGGGTCGGGGGTTAAATGCGGGTCGGGGGGGAGGGGATGCCCCAATAGGGGGCGCCTTGTGGGGCACACTGGCGCTAAAGTGATGGAAACCATTCTGAATGCACAATCTCACAGCGGTTGATCTTGGAGAAGAAAAGATATCATTTTCAAGGAAGAAGCGTATGGGGTTAGGGCAAAGTACGTTTGTGGATTTAACTTTGTCTTGTCCACGCATACTTATCTGGTAACATTCGTTCCCGCCGAATAAAACCTCTTTAAAATGCACTCAAAAACATGAAGACACTTCTATTTCACTTTTAATAGATTTAATGTATGTAAATAGGAAAACAAATTAAATGTGAAATCAATAAGATTTTGCGGAAGTTCATTAAGTTGACAGTTCGTTTCGTAAAAAATTTTGTTGAATATCAAACTAGTTTTTTTTTCATTGAATGAAATTGCCGTACCTTAGAAAATAATTCGATAGTATGTTGGGGGAGACTGTTGAGCATACGACTAAACTATGAACTTTATTGGGGAGGAAGCCGCCAGTTAACCCACTGTGCCCGACAAACACCCAACCGAAGCGGTTTTCTGTTGCTGATTTTAAATTTTAATTAAAGTGCGGCTTCGACTCAGCCTCACACAGCCACAGCCCCTGCCTCTACCTCGGGGCTTTGGCTTTGGCTGCGACCACTTGAGGTTCACGATCCGCGGCAAAGCAAACAATGGCCTACAAGTACTGGCACTTCTTGACACGCTCTTGGCTCTCGAAGCATCCAGCTAACCGAGCTATTGGCCCCGGGGCCAAATGGTGCGGAAGAAAGGCTTTCTAAAAACCATATTGGCACGGCATTCCAGGCATTATCGCGCCCATGACCAGCGAAAGAAAGCGTCCCAATCGATTTCCGTCAACTCATTGTGGCCTATAAAAGTGGCGAAAATCTGGACAGCGGCACACACAGCCCCAGTGACCATCATCCAGAAATGATCTACGCGATTCTTGTGTTCTGTCTTCTGGTCAGTGGGCCAGCGGCCCTGGCCGAAAAGGAGGCCGCCGCCAAGGATCAGGCGACCCGTTTGGCCGGAATATATGTGAAGGATGGCAACGAAAACGGGCAGCTGAGGTTCCTGGCCTCGGGACTGAACTCTGGCAGCAGCAGCAGCAGCTCGAGCACAGGCCTTAACTCGGCTCTTAACCAGTACATAACCAATAAGCAGGACATGCTGGAGCAGTTGCGTCCCACTGGCTCTGGAACGGGCACTACATCAGGCACGGGAACAACGGCGGTAACGGGAACAACATCCACTGGCAGTGGCACTGGAGGCGGTACGGTGACAACTACTGCGAACGGAGCTATCTACGTGCATCTGGGTAACTCGGGGTCCTCCTCGTCGTCATCCTCCTCCTCGTCGTCGTCTGCCTCCAACGCGGCTCTTAACCAGGTGATCTATGGATCCTCGCCGATCGCCGGTCTTTTGCCACAGATCGTTGGCCAGGCGGTGTCCAGTCGAGTGCGTCCTGGTCAGAATAACAGGAGGCGGGTTCCCGCCCGCAGGCGTAGGGTCAACAAGAGGCGTGGCAGCGTTAACAACAACCAGCGACGTCGGCGACGTGGCAACAAGCGGGGCAAGAACAAGAACAAGGCCCAGGTGATGGTGGTGCGGCCAAATCGCGGTTAAAAAAAACGACCTGCCCTAGTTAAGATTTTTTTTTTTCGAATGATTATTATTAGTGCGAAAGAGGGCAACCTAATTAATTTATTTAAATATTTGAAAGCAATCACCCCTGTAACAAATGTTTTGTGATTTGGATCGAAAAGTGCAAGTTGGGGGGTTTTGTTTGATTTCCCTATTGAAGTGTATCTTTAAGATACGGATAATCAAATAATTGGGATAAGTTTGAGAGCTATTAATCTTGACTTCAGCTTATTTACTCATCGCGTTTTGCTAATAAACGCCTCAGCTGCGAATGCGAAACCTCAAAGTCGTGCAGGGCAGTGCTTCCCAGCACTGGGCTCTAATTTATGGGCCAACTGGTGTTCATGTTCAGGGCCTCGGCAGGTGCTCGGGGAACGACCAGCAACCCCCTCGGTGAGCCCCTGGTCAAGTGCAAGACAAACGGTCTCCGGTCAGCGCTGCATGCGGCGGTCAATGTCTTGATAAATGTCTGTCGACTGGGGCCTGGGGTGCTCCCTGGCTCCCCCTGGTGCCCCCATTTGGAGCCGCCCCTGTCCTCGTGCCCATTTCGCGCCCTCTAAATCACCGTCACGTGTCCTGCTTGTGCATTATGTGCTCATGACTGTAATGAGCCTGTAAGTGGACCTAATCAGTGTCATAATAATAGAAATTAATCACTGCAAGGCCATGGCATGGGCGTCTAGAAGGGGGCTCCTTTCACGCCCACCTGCAGCTGGTACCTGCTACCTGCTACCTGGTACGTTAAAAGTCAAAGTTCCTCCTGCAACATTTTGCTGCTGCCGGCTGCCGGCTTCTGGCATTTTGCTTTTGTGCGGCTTTGTGCAGCGCTTTGGCGCATACTTTGTAAATGTTTTGCAATGATTTGATTTAAAATTCATTTGAATTATTGCTTGCTTCCGGTTTCCGGTGCCTTCGAAATACTTTCCTGTTTCCTTTCTGCCGCCCTCGAACCTCCCCCTTCCCCTCCCCCCACTTGCCTATATTACCCAGCGACCGGTCACGACGAGGATGTGGAAGGACGGACTGTATGATGTACGACCAACTTGGCTGGCCCTCCCTTTGCGTCTCCCCGGGGAGTTTATTAAGTACTGCCAAGGATACACTTGGGACAGAGTAATGACTTTCCCATACGATGTTTCATATATTTGCTAGAGCTGCCAGAGGATAATTCCGAAACCTTTACACATAGTGATAGAAACTCAATGCAGCAAAAATTCCCCAATTCTTTTTAATATGACGTTACTGCAATTGCTTAGCTGAACCTTTTTATTTCTGTTTTGGTCAAATCCATACAATATTCAGATTATTTTGGATAAGCCAGTCCCAATTCCAGTAACATTTTTCTCGCAGTGCATTTGCATAGACCGAATGGCAACTGGTGTGTGAGTGTGCGGAACTTTGTTAATATGCAAGTGAATGGACATTTCCGGTACGGACAAAACGTGCCATGTTTCTGCCCAAAAACCGAGAGCCAAGGTCCTGGCCAAGCCCGCGAAACCTTTTGGGGGAGAACCGGTAGTTAGCGGAGTGGTCTGGGGAGACGGGGGGATACTTTGGTTACGGGGACGCACGGGGGTGGTGCAGGCTCACAGCCCAAGGACATGTGCTGTGCCAAAAGTCCACATCACCACGCGCTGCCCTTGGATACATTTCGCTGCCCTATAAAATGGAACCATTTGCGGGTCTGTTGGGCCGACCATGTACTATTTTAGCTCTTCAAACTACCAATGTGTTTGAAAATAATGTTTAAAAAGGATTTCTTAGTCTTTATTGATATTTGACAACGCCCATTAACTTAAAGAATATTTTTGATCGCTCCTGATATTACTGATCAAATAAAAACAACAAATTGGGAAATAATTTTGCTAAACGGGTATAGGGCATTTGAAAATCGGCTGATAGACATTAAAGGTTTTTTTTCCTTTGGCAGTTCCTTGGCTTCGCTCATGTGTAATTTTCAATTAAAATGATTTGAGTAGACAGCTTTGAACGCTTCTGGCTGTGACTCTGCCACTGACTTGGCTTCTGATTTGGATTCGGATACGTATTTTCGGTCCTGCGAATGGTTAGGAATACGGGGGAATGCCACAAATACTTTTCAGGGCAAAAATCATAAATCATGCAGCAGGCAAAGACACGAACCGCATTGAAAATCGACGGCGGAGACCCAAGCTCCGGCGTTGACACGGACATCGGGCTGCTGGGGGATATCTACCCGAGGAATATATAGAAATATGTGTGTGTGTGTATATAGACATGACCGGCCGACTAAGTGGGCCACAAGTTTCGCTTCACTTTTGAAATAGTTGCAAAGTGGAAAAGTTTGGCATGCAGAGTGTCCACGTCTGTGGTCAGGAAGGAGCGTAATTGTGGGGCATCGGAATCCTGCGACGGATCGGGGATCCGGGATTCCGGGATTCCGGATTCTGGATTCTGGATTCTGGATTCGGCAATCGAGATAAGAGTGCGTGAGTTACGTGCCGGGAAGCTCCGGGATTGCTGGCTATTAAAAGGCCACTTTGCGATGTTATGTGACGAAGGCATTTCCGAGACAGCGTTGAACTGCTTAAAAGCTCTTTGATACGTCTATTACAGATTAAAAGGTGCCTTTGCTGCATTGCTCTAAAAACGGTTGAAGACTTGTACTTTTTATATTCCTGAATCGAAAGAGAACAAATCTTTCAATGTTCTGGCTTACTTGTGACCATCTATCGTCACGCTGGCATCTCTGCTAGTTGTTCATTTTGCCTCTTGTTTTTGGGGCAAGTGGGAATGCAGCGAGATGTAAGAAGCAATGGAATTCTGCGGCCCGAGGTTTCTCCTCGTCTTTTGCCCATTCTTCAGCTCCGTCTATCGATATTTTTCGAGTTCCTCGTGGCTTTTTTGTATCCCTCAAGCCAATGGTCAATTGACATGGCAACAACAACAACAACTGCGGTTTAGTTTTTTCCCCTAAACTCGAATATTGTTGTTGCTTAAATTTCTTGTATTCTGTTGGCTTTTAATTGCCGTGACGTGTTTGTTCTACCGTTTTTTTTTTTTTTTTGGATTTTTGTTCTCTGTGCTGTTCTTTGTTTTTGGCTGTTGGGTGCTTTTGGCCACTTGTCGTTTGATTTACTTAGTACTTTTTCGGTTGCTATACAAGACCAATTGTAAGCCAATTTTCTGTGGGTTTTTTTTAAGGGGGTTAGGCCTTCCCAAAGGCGACCTTGTCGTGTTTAGCCTTTTTGGCACACTTGTCAAGTGCTTTGGTCAGTGGTCGGTCATTTTTTGAGTGCCGTAGTTTTTTTCAAAGTCTTTTTCGCGTATGCTCTAAACATAACAGCTAAAGGATTGTTGGTTGACGACAACATTAAGAAAAGAAATTGTACTTTAAAGTATTCTAATGGAGTTAAAACCTTGCGGTTTTATTTAATACAAAGACTTTTGACTTTAGACATATGGTGACACAAAACAAAATGAATTATAATTTGGTTAATCGAAAATAATGTATTAGTAATTCCGTGTACCAAAGGCTCTAGGCGGCTTTGCATTTGGTAAGCTCAAAAAAATAATACGGGGTTTTAAATTAAAATATTTATCTTTATTTACGAAAGTGAAGTTATTAATTTGATTGAATCTGAGTATATTCATAGTTACACATAATAGCAATAGCTACAAGAAAAACAAGCCTGTTGCAAAATAACCACGCTGATCCTTTCCATGTTTAAAAGCCCCTGCACTAACGTTTCACCTCTTTTTCCACTGGTCATCGCCCCCAATTTAACTGGTGTCTTGTTTTGGCTTTGACGGATGGAATTTTACAGAGCTTGCCCCAAACTTCAAGCGCAGTTAATAAGGCTCAATCAAAATACGAGGACAAGAGTCAGGCGATTGGCAGGGGGCCAATAATTAAACCTAATTAATTTGCAGCTGTCAAAGCAACAAAGCAGAAAGTGAGAAAAAAGTGGGCGGAAAAAGGGGTTTACAACACCTCATCGATTTGTAGCTCCGTCATTCTTTTACGCTCTCATTCATTGCACTTTTGTACAAAAGTCAATTCAACAAAAGCAGGAAGGAATTGTGTGTCGTAATGATCCCTTATCCCTTATCCCGAAAATCCCAAAATCCCACCCTCATTCAATTAAGGGTTTACTGGGGAGGTGGGGCTGTTGTTGCCTGTCTAAGACGTGACGTAAATCAGCGTTTTAAGTGTTCTTTCTTTTTTTTTTTTTTTTTGGCGCGACCTGTCAACGGCAACTTTGCAGAGCCGAAAAGGAGAGGAAAAATCAGATGAAAGGAAATGAATTGCGCAAGCCGTGCATAATTTCTTGAATTTTACATATAATAATAGTAATAATAAATAATAGCAACAAAATTAATATTGTTAACAGCGTATGACAGTAGCTTGGGAGGCATAAATAAAGAAAAGAAATTTGCGTCAATTCGTACTAGGTAAAATGCTTAAAACAACCAGGGGATGTATACTTTTCTTTTACCGTGCAGATTTGACCCACTCTTGGTAAAGTTAGCCTTCTCGGTTTTCTCTGCATTTCTTTTTTGCCTTATGGCTGACGTAGTTTTTGTTCTTCACTTCGCTTTCGGCTTAAGTGCGAACTTGTTAATTTTACGCAAGGATCTTGAAGTCTCGGCACAAGCATACGCAATAAGGACGAAGGGGTGTAAGTGGTTAGCGTGCTCGGGCTCCTTTCCCAGGACCAGAGCGGTCTGAAGGAAGGTTGTAGCTCAGTTACGCAAACCAGCAAATCAAAAAACCATTTGACGCCTTTTCATCATCAACAAGAGCTTGCGGGCGGGGGCGTGGTACCTGCTGCCGCTGACACATTTGAAACTGACAATAAGTCGAAGCAAACCACTCTCGATTTTTCACAACCCCCATTTGGGAGATATCTCTCCCTCAAAAGCAGGAAAAAGGCGAACCAAGAACAATTAGAAACAGCATTGACTGAAAAAGGATTGGGAGTCTGTGGGCAGTTTATCACCGGTCTGCATTTTGGCACTTTAAACCCCGTCCCCTAAGTCAAATGAGCATTCCA